CAACTCAGATTTAGGTCTAATACTGGCGCATGAATTAAGACCTCCCACACTTCCTTGTTTATTACTCTGGTTATAGGATCATAACCTAACTACAGGAGCTCAGAAAATCCTACATCTCCTTGTCAGGGCCCAGAAGTGTTACAGACCACATTTCATTTCCTCCAATGTTGTTTAATGGCCTTGGCATTGACAGAGCCCAGTATATCTTCTCATGTTACCAGTGGTTGTAATCACATTTTTAACTGTATACCACTAGTGCCCATAATAGCCTCAGAGGAGGGAATTTGACAGGAAAATGGCCCCTCACTCTACTCCCAGGTAGCCTATCTATACCTGTCATTACCTGGCATTTAAATTCAAGTGAAATAATTTTCCCAATTTGTATTTTGGCAAAATGCCATCACAACAGATGGACATGTGTGTATATAACTCGGAAATTATGCATATACATTAAATATCCGGACGGTGAGCATGAGTCCTCTCTAGGAATATCCAAACATCTGCCTGCTCTGAGCTTTTGTGTGTGCTGTTTATACCATATGCCATCACAGTGGGAGGGCCTTGTCAAGGAGGGGGGAAAGAGTACTCATGAATTTCATGGAAATTGTTTCATAGGATAAACTTGTCTCACCTTGGGCAAAAGAATTTATAAAAATATTGTGAATATCTTATTTCAAATGATAAATTCTAAAGCCTGATTTGAATAGCAAAAGAAAATTTTCACACATTATAGGATAAATAAAGCTAAAATTCAAATGGCTTCCTACTAGAGCACTCAAAGTACTTGTGATTGCTCATGATCTGTCTGTCCACTCTACACATATAGACACGGGCTTTTCCTTGTGGCCACTCTCTCTGCCAACTAAACTGTTTAAACCTATGATCAAATATAGAATTGCATTTGCCTAACTCCATGAGCCTTTCATGTTTTCTTTTTAAGTGAAGTGCTGCAAAAAATTGGCCAGAGATACCTTTGTTATTGGTCTGCATTGTCTTGATTAACACAGTCCTCAATGATGATTTATTTCCTGGAACAATGTCTCTGGCTAAGCTCATAAGAAACTCAATTATGGAATAATAATGCTTATTTTTACCTACACTAAAAATTAGCTTAACCTACATTGTCAAATATTCATATTAATAAAATTATCAGGTTTCCTCCATGTTAGCAAATGTCTGTCTAGGAGCTGCATTCCTCTGCAGTGGGATTGCTGAGCACAAACTATGTGCAAAGAGATTTAAGTGGACAATTCTAATTATAATGGTACCAGCCTATGACTTTAAGATACATTAATCCCCAATGAAGTGTACAGTTGGCCCAAGAAACACAAAGATCACATCCAGGCCCATGAACTATTCCTCTGGACGGTGTTAGCAAGAGACTATGGAAGTATGTGTTTCATGTTCTATGCTGACAGCCGGTCCTTTCTGCATTTGATAGCTTTTTCACAAAACAAGCCATCACAACACTTAAAGGTTAAAGTGTTAATTTGTTATTGTTTTCTTCTTGGTGTTGGCTAGTTGCTTTTCTGGTCTCCATCAGCATGACTAGGACTGGATGGCTGAGGACAGGTCTTACTCATGTGTCTGGACACTTGAATGGGAGGGCAAGGATGGTTAAAGTCTCTCTGCATATGATATCTCAACCTCCAGAAAGAGAGCATGGGCTTCTTTACCTGGTGGCATAAGGGTTTCCAATCACAAGAACGGCCAAACTTCAATATGTAAGCAATTTTAGTCTCTGATTGTCTCATTTTTATTGTCATGTTAGCTAAGATAAATCATATGGCAAATTCCAGAGTCAGGCTAGTTGGTGGGAACTATCTAAGGTATGGATACAGGGAGCCCTGAAGAAATGGGGAATTATTCTGTTTTGCTGTATGATTTATAATATGTTGCTTCCTCCTCTTCCTCACCTTGTTCCTCCATCTCTTCCTTTATGTTCTTTATGATTATGCTGTAAATAAGACCACATCTGCATTCTTATGCTTTCTAATTTTGGCATGAAAATTTATTCTCTAAGGTATACTTTGACATATGTTGAATTCATCTGCAGTTTGTTAATTTTGATCTCAACTTTCTAGGTGCCAACAAATGATGATAGATCTTTTCTGTAATTCATAAGGATCCTGAATGACCAAGGCTTTTCCTAGAGAAGCCACAAAAATGTTCTTTAAAATTGGTTCTAATGCACTAGAAAACTATGGGATTAATGTTTGCTTCATTTTAGTGGTGGCTAGTCAATTTCCTGAAGAGTAGCAATTCACCCCCTTCCCTGATCATAATAAAATTAAAAATGTGTTTTTTCTTTAGTTTAGTTGGTGTTTGAATGTGAAAATTAGGGGGTAGAAATTGAATAATATATGATTTGTTAGAAACTGTAATTTTCTACTGTAAGGCTCTTCTGTCAGCTAACTGTGCTGAGCCTATTATCACTATAATCCTGTGCTGAAGAGGATAAACATGAACACAACATGTTAAAAATAAGAAAATAAATGCTGTGCAGCAACTGGCACTTTCAGTTGTAAGCCAGGAAGTTTCTGGAGCATGAGGTAAAGCTATGCATTAGAGTCCTTGCAGGCTGTGTGCAGGTGACTACAAATAGCCTTGATTTTGTATTACTATAACACGCATGTGCACAAGTAAGTGGGCTTCATGCTGTGTAGATGATACATTTGACTTTAGACCTATAGGCAGGCCTCAGACATCATTCATGTTGCCTATCCTCTACAAACATTTCAAGCCTCAATTCCTAGACCCATCTTCAACATGAGGACATCCACTGAATTGATTTTAACTAAATATATGTTCAGGGAAAAAATTAAATAAGATTTTTCATTTGTCACAAATAGTCAACTATTCAATTTTGTACTGTTCGGCCAGGTGTGTAGGTATGTGTGTGTGTGTGAGAGAGAGATACTAGTGTGCCTGGTGTGTGGAGTGTGCACTATGTTAGTGTGTATTGTATGTGGTGAATATGTAGTGATGTATTCATGTGTTAGTACACATATGTGTATTAATGTGTGGTATTTGTAGTGTGCTAGCATGTGTATGCATGTGCTTGTGCCTAACAGTGTGTGTTTTGGAGTATGTGTTGGTGTGGTTGGGTATGTATGTGTGGCATTTTTTTAAGAAACCTTTTATTTAATGAATACAAATTTCATAAGTGAAACTTTAGGAATATAGTGTTTTTTCCCCTCCATACCCACTCTCCCATCCCCACTCCTATCCCACCTCCTCCTCCCTCTCCCATCCCATTCTTCATTAAGATTCATTTTTAATTAACTTTATATACTGAAGACCAACTCTATTCTAAGTAAAGATATCAACAATTTGCACCCCCCACACACACACACAAAGTATAAAGAACTGTTTGAGAACAAGTTTTACAGTTAATTCTCATAGTGCAACTTATTATGGACAGAGGTCCTCTATGGGGAGTAAGTGCACAGTGATTCTAGTTGTTAATTTAACAATTAACACTCTTATTTGTGACATCAGTGATCACCTGAGGCTCTTGACATGAGCTGCTACAGCTATGGAAGCCTTTTGAGTCCCTGATCTCTGTCAGTGTTTACACAGGGCCATACGCAAAGTGGAAGTTCTCTCCTACCTTCAAAGAAAAGTAGATCCTTCTTTGAGGAACAAATAATACACTTGTTTTTTGAAGCTAGTTTCATGTTTTATCAAAAGATTTACCTATTATTTGTTTGGAAGGTAGAATGACAGAGGGACAGGAATAGATGGAAAGAGAAAGATTCAGTCTACTCTTTCACTCTTCAAAAAGCTGCAACAGCCAGGCCTTGACCAGGTCACAGCCAGGAGCCAGAAACTCCATCCAGATCTCCCTCAAAGGTGGCAGGAACCCAAGTATTGGGGTCATCTTCCAGTACCTTCTCAGGTGCATTAGCAGGAAGCTGCATCAAAAGTAAAGGAACCAGGACTCAAAGTGGATTTCTTATATGGTGTGCCAGGGTCACAGAAGGCCGCTTAACCCATGCACCACAGCATCAGATCAGACAGTTTCATCTTTAATGACTCAAATCCATTCTTCGGTCCTCTTGTATTGATTAATACATTTCCACACTGAGAAATAAAGACAGTCTCTTTCCTTTTGACTTAATCTCTCAATGGTATTGTGAAATTTTCCTTTTATTGTGGTTCTCACTTTCAAAAGCCCAAAACTATAGCACAAATAAAACTCCTTGTTTTCATGGTGCACATGAGGTTGGATTGCACATCGCCCCAGTTTTCTGAAGCTGAGCCACATTGGTGCATGTCTTTAGGATTTTAATACATGCTTAAGCTATATCCCAGAGTTTAGGATTGCTTCTTTTTAGTTGATACATCTGGAGCTATTTGAACAGCGTGCAGTCATTCATAATCTACATACATTCATCCCTGTGAAGTTTTTTTTTCAGTAATATTCATGTTAACAATTATAACCTTGGCACATTCTTAATTCTTGTATTTCACTATCTTCCCTTTTCTAGCTAATGCATCAAGTGACATCTCAGCCAATCTAATACTGAATACATCCTTGATGAAAGAAATAACTTCACTTTCTCTATAGATAAGTAGGAATGTAGGGGCAGGCAATTTGGCACAGTATGCTAAGCCATTGCTTGGGATGCCCACATCCCACATTGGAGTGCCTATGATTGAGTCCCACCTCTGCTTCTTATCCTGCTTCCTGCTAACAGGTAACCTGGGAGGCAGCAGATGATGGCTCAAGTGCTTTGGTCCTTGCCAACCAAATAGGAGACCCAGATGGTATTCCTGGCTCCTGGCTTTGGCCTGGCCCAGCCATGGCTATTGCGGACATTTAGAGAGTAAAAAACAGATGAACGGTCCCTCTCTCTTTCTCTCATCTCCTCTACATTTGACATAAATCAAATAAACTTTAAAATATTAATTTAAAGTATGTATGCTTTATCTTAACTTATTTGTTTTTTCACTCTGGGTCCCATTTTAAATGATTTTTTTTTCTTTACTTCTAGGACTACAATGATGAAATTCGTCAGGAACAACTACGTGAATTATCTTACTTAAATGGCTCTGAGGACTCTGGTCGTGGGAGAGGTATTAGAGGCAGAGGAATCAGAATAGCTTCCACGACTCCCTCAAGGTATATTTGTTTTTACTTTAAATAAATTAGCAGTAAAGGATGATGGCAGGCCTTTGCAATCTTGATCTATAGCATGATTATAGGTATAGAGGTAATAAATAGCATCAGTTACAACTACCACTACTGCAACAAAATATAAATGATGAAAGCTTACATATACCACTGTAAGAAGGTCATGTATATTCACTCATCAAACCCTCCATTCTACGAGATATCTACTATTTATAGATGAGAAATTAAGGTACAGAAAAGTTACCTAAGGTCATGCTGACCTTCTGACTTCAGAATTCACTGTTTGAGCTCTTCACAACTACATTTAGAAAATGAGGCAGAATTCCTGAGGCTTCCTCTTTTCTTGGTCTGTTCCCAGGATTAAAGCAGACAGATAATAAAACCACGTGCTTCTTTGAACATGGATGATCTTGCATGAAAGCAAAACAATAGATTTTGCCTGTGTCTAAAATGGTCCTTGAATTGATATAGTCTTGCCATGTTGAAAGTGGGTTTGGGGGTAGGGGAAGAGAGAGAAAGAGAGAAATCTGGACATAGATAGATAATATATATGCCAGAAGCACACCTCTTCATAGCTGGTGAAAGGGTATTTAAAGTTCAGATTGATCTGATTTTGCAAGTCTGTGGTGGTCACAGAAGATTTTACTTGATTTTTTTTCACATTGCAAAGAAATTGGTATCTTTCTCTGTTAGAATTTATATTTTGAATTCTGAATTTGTTCAGCTATCAGCAGATAGCATCAGTTTGCAGAGAAGTGAAGTAAAAAAATCCTCACAGCCTTCACACACACACTGTGAGTCAGTCTTCAGTGCATTGTAGTTGACCTTTAAATCTCTGAAACACAGATCTAGAACATTTCTTCACAATATAAAAATTATCTGAAAAGATGCAAGGATATTTTGCAGAATCAATTTGTTTCTAAAATCATACTCAGAATGTTTTCAACCATGACTGTCAAAATATCACTTTTTAACATTTAAGTTGCAAATGGGGCAGCCATTTGGTACAGCAGTGAAGATACTCCCTGGAATAGCCATATCCCATCCTGGAGAGCTTGATTTTGATTCCCAGTTTGGCCCCAATTCCAGCATCCTGCTAATACACGCTCTGGGAGACAGCAGTGATGGCTTAAGGAATTGTGTTCCTTTCCAGTTCTCTCTCCTCTAGGAGACTTGGATTGAGCTCCTGGCTCCTGGCTTTGGCCAGGCCCAGAACTAGCTACTGGGGAGCATTTGGGGAGGGAACCAGTAGATGAGAAATCTCTCTCCTCTGTTTCTGCCTTTCAAATAAATAAATAATTTTGGATAAGTCCTACAAATACCTCAAAAAGCTTCACATTAAAATTTAAGATTTTAAAATTTAAGATTTGTAAATGCCCAGATAAAGGCTGTGAAGTGACGTTACTGCAGGTGATCTTGAAGGGATTTATATACATGGATTAAATGATACGAAATTCTATTTTCTTAGTTCCAAAAATACCCATATTAGTAGTTTTACATGGTGTAACCTAAGAATATGTTTGCCTTAAAGAGAGCACATGTTTCTACTATGCAGTATTCCCCGAAACTGAGATTATTTTTAATGCATTTTTCTCTTTTTGATATTATAAAATCATATTAATAGATGTTGGTTTGTTGATGTTCCTCATGTAAATTGCATTTGGACATATATGACTTTAATTTCAATAACGTTTTATTTTAAATTAAAAAAAAAAATTAAGAGCCATAGACAAAGTGAGAACTCCTGCTTGCTGGTTCCTAGCTGCATTCCTGCATGGTGGGGGACTAGGTCAGGCTGAAGCTGAAAGCTGGGAATTCAATCCAGTTTACCCGTATGGGTAGCAGAAACCCAGTCACAAGCCATCGCCACTGCCTCCCAGTCTGTATTTGCACGAAACTGGAGTAAGAAGCTGGAACTGGATATCAAACCAAGAGACTCAAATGTGGGACATGGCTTCTAAACTTCCAAATACCTGATCCTATTCTAAAGTTTTAACAGTTTAATAATTGCATAAGTAATAGTGCATTATGGCCTAGATTTTTAAATTATCTTCTTAGAAGAGAAATTACTTGAAATATTTTGCTTTTTAATATCCTGTATATCATACAGAGCTGTCAGAGCATACTTAAAAAGAAAATTAACATTAAAAATTAGACTTCACTTCCAAAGCTGTATTGATATCATTAATGGAATTAAAATTGATGAAAATAAATAGAAAAAAACATAACTTTGTTATCTTTTATCTCAAACACACAATCAAATGTAACTTCAATTAAAAATGAATAGGGAGATAACTTCACGAAACAGAAAACCATACTGATCAGAAAGCTTTGTAAGATATGAACTAATGGATACTAGTTTGTATATATTTTTGAAATTATTACTTTAAGTTATTCAGCTATGCTTACATTAAAATGATTGTGCCTAGAATATTTTAAAAGTCATAATAGCTTGCTAAAATATATTTTAATTAAAGGAATTTATACCTCAATAAACATATCTATAGCTAGTTTCCAGTAGTAGTACATACCAGAGAACCCAGCATTGAATTTACATGCTATAACAATAATTTATTTTACAAAGTTGAAGAATGAAAACATATGATGTCTCTAATACACATCATTGGTACATATTGTAATCTGAGCCAATAGTTTAAAATGAAGCATTAGCAGCGGATTTTGAAGGTTTTTGTTTACTACAGTTTCAACTAATACAAGAGCCAATTCAATTTGTAAAATAGGGGAGTAATCATGTGTGTTTCAAAGAAAGACTGCTCAATAATCAACTGTGGCTTATGGAGAAGAGATAGTGATCTGTAGAGAGACTAACAGATACACATGGAGGGAAGGAGACAGAGATGAGATAGAGAGGGAGAGATTGACTCATGGCAGGGGAGTCAATGAGAAAACAAATCCATTGTCTAAGACAGAAATATATAGAATTTGGAGAATAGAGATATAAAGCCAGAATATGGATTAAACATCCAAATTGGATGTTGGAAAAGAAGGATAGCCCAGACAAGGGTAACTCTCTGGGGCTAGTCTGAAAAGAAGTTGCTGGTATCATCAACTATGACTAGGTAAAGTATCAAGTTTAGTGAAGTCTATAATTGTTCCTATTATTAATTATAGCTTTATGAGTTACTAATGTAATATAAGGGAGGTGACTTGTACTCTCTGTGCCCTGATTTCTCAAAAACTAAAATAGCTGAGAATTGCGTAAACGTCAAGCTAGTCAGTATGTTTAAATTAGGTGATGCATATAAGGCAGCAGTTCTCAAAGTAGCTCATTCACTGAACTCATTGTGGTTCCTGTCTCCTGAGATGATGATTTAAATTAACCTGATGTGTGACCTGGAATTTTGGATTTTTAAATATCCTCAAGTAATCTAGTAGGGAGGCAAATTAGGGAACTCCTGATATAAGTGACATAAACCAGGATACAGCATTTTGTTAGGAAGGAAAGAGATCACAGTCATTACTCAAGTTATGGACTGCAAGACACAGCCACGAAGGAGACTGGGACACCCATTTTCCAAGGAGGGCCCAAAAACAGAAGCCAGTAAGGGAGGCTGAGGAATAAGAAAATGGAAAGAGGAGAAAAGCAGAGTTGTTAAAGTCGAGAGAAACGTTCTCCAGATAATAGTCCACTCTCTTAATTATAATAGGGAGGAGCAGGCCATGGGGACTGTAAAAGAGTCCAATGAGATTTGCTATTGGTAGGCTACTGGTGATCTCTGTCCGTGTACTTTCAACAGAGTGGTGAAAATAAGAACCAGATTTATTGCAGTTAGAATGAGCAAGAGGTAAAGGATTAAACATGGAAACTGTTCTTTGAAGAATCAAAAAAATATAAGGCTACTGTCTGTGGATTTAGCCAAGGGCAGTATTCTGAAGTAGATGGTGTGAGTTTTGAGTTGAATTGGAGGAGAGAGCAATGGGTTAATGTGCACAGGAAAGGGCATAGCAAAAGGGAGGTAGAGTTTGGTCTGGGAAACAGGTTGCTGAGGGATGTGTCTGGGAGTCAGTTGATGAAGGAGTGGAATGAGAAACTAGACATCATGTGAGCATCATATAATTTTAGAGCAAGAGAAATATTTACAGATTCAGAAATCTACATTTTACTCATTAGAGAAAAAAAATCTGTGATTACTTTGTGAGATAGCCAGGCATTGTGAATATGGTTTGCAGTAGGGTGACCGTATGATTTATTATCCACACATGGACACTTTTGAGACTCTTAAAATGCTAAACTGAACAGGAAACTAGTACAGCAGATATAAAACTTGGACATAAGTTTGTTTTGGTTATGAGGAAATAGATGTGTGGAAGTTCAGAGAAGATAAAATAATCTTTACATCCTTTTTGTATAGATGTGTTTTTGTATTACCGTGATAACATAGAATATAGTAGTCTCAGTTGCATTGTACTTGAAGTAGGCACTGGGGCTCTGAATCTTTTGTGTTTCACCTTGCCACATTCTAAGAGTGTTCTATATATATATATATATATATATATATATATATATATATATATATTAGGTTCGCAACAAGTTCTCTGATAGTTTGTCTATTCATCATCTCTATAATCTATTTAAAAATTTTAAAAGCCTTACCAACATTCTTCCTCTTCACTCCTAAAAGCTCACTTTCTACACAGAAGAAAGAACCAGCTGACTTCTATTCATAGCAAAAAGCATAACCTGCATCCCTCTAATGTGGATACAGCCAAACAGTGTGATTGTTGACATCCCAATGATCATCATTTTTTTTTTCAAAGCTTTAGTGTTCCTGCTGAAAGCATTGCTTTCTAGAGGCCAACCTTTCAGACATAATAAAAAGTGAAATAACCGTGCATTTGCCCAAAGATTGCAGATAAACACTCAACCTTTCTAAAGGCCCCAAAATACCATAAAAGTTGGCTGCAACCATTTGATCTTACACTTTTAGTGCAGGTTACTTTTGTGTCAAGAACTGCAGTACAGAGTGTTCAGTCTATTCTTTTTATTGCAGAGTACTGATGTATTCCACTAGCACTATGGTTACCATAAGAAAATACATTATGTTGGGGACTGCACCAGCTCAGGATTTACAGGTGTGGTGAAAAATTAGTGACAATGAGTTGTGATTTCAAATGACCTCAAACTTAAACTAATGTAATACTCTGAATGCTTTCATATGATTAGAGCTCCACATTTTATTAACGTGCAAACAGACTTTGTTTTTTGTAAATGACAACATTGCACATCACAGTCAGTGACCCCCAGTATGGGGGAAACACAGACATACAATTGCTCTATTTCATAGATGGTCCAGTGAGTTCATGCTCTGCGGTTTGAATCCTCTCAGAAAATATGAAATATAATCAGAGTGGGATTTCTATTTTACTTTGGTTTTTTAGTTATATTGTAGATAGTATCAAAGTATTTTACAAAATTTTCAGGAGAATTAAGTCACAGTTTTTATAAAATGTGTGCTTATATGGAGGTCAGAGCAGTTTACAACTAAATGATCTCTACTACCCACATGTAGAGGGAGATAAATTTGAATTTCTCCCATTGTATGGGAACTGTGAGGTAGGAGCTTTAGCTGTTACAGCCTCTTGTCTCATCACTTGTTTCTCATCTGTTCTAACCCTGTTTCTTCTAGGGGCCGTGGGGGTGCCATTCCTCCTCCCCCACCACCTGGTCGAGGTGTTCTCACCCCTCGCGGGACCACTGTAACTCGTGGAGCTCTTCCAGTGCCCCCAGTAGCGAGAGGTGTCCCTACCCCTCGAGCCCGGGGGACCCCAACAGTGCCAGGATACAGGGCACCCCCTCCTCCATCCCATGAGGCTTATGAAGAATATGTAAGTACCTGATAAAATTGGTTATGAGGAAGAATCAAATTGATTAGTGAATAAGATAAGTCTCAAAAATAGTCACATATTATGAATATAGCAGGTAATATTTATTATGGAAAACCAATGTCATTTGCAACAGAGGGTAAGAAGCACATTTAAATGAGAGCATTTTGAAAAATGTTTTCATGTTACAGGTACCATCATTGTTGTTAATGACAATTAAATAGCTTGCATTTTAAGATTCAAGTTATCTTGAGGTATTCTTGAGGATGTTTAATCAGAAAATAATTATAAATATGATATGAACTGTCATGTTTTCAGAGAATAATCCTGAGACATAAAAAAGGCTAGCATAAAACTCAGAAATAGTTGATAAATGTAATGTGATCATATTATAAACTTTGGAGATAATGCCAGGGCATGTATGTGACTGGGCTTACATATCTTTCTTTCATCATGTGAAAGAAAGAAGATGGGCAAAAAGAATGCCAAAAAGCCTAGAATGAACAGAAACATCGCAATATCTCTAAGCACCCTTCTCCCTCCATCCACTGTATCTCTTGATCATTTTGTACATCCACTCTTTGGCTTTCAGTACAGGTCATCTGTATTGCACCTGTGACACTGTAGAGCAGTCTTGTAACCATTTCTCTTTCTAGATTTCGAAACTTCTAAATAGATGAGTTTCTTATTCATTTGTGTAGCCATAGGAAGTCCACTGTAAATGTAAAATTGAATCCAAGATTCATCTAAGATCATCCTAAGAAACAAACTCATTTTTCCTTTAACCACTCCAGCATGCCTATCGCCAATCTAGCTGTTTGTTTCATTCAACCATTACAAACATTCTTTCCTCTAAATGTCTTCTGTGAATTATGCTCATTAAATATAACTCTTCTAGGAGGGTTACCATCACAAGCTGAGCACTCAAATCATATAAATGCCTTAAGAATGGTCTAATAATCAGACTTCAATCCTAAAATAAAACAGTTCATAGGTGTCATGAAGTATATAGTAATATTTTGTGTGTGTTAATTTTGGGGGAAGTTATGAAATATTGCCTAATAACTGCAAGTGAAGAAAAATTAACCACAAAAATTACTTTTATTGCAATAGTTGAGGTTCATCTAAAGTATCTTTTATGCATCAGGCATTGATATTTAAAACCTTAGATATTTAAGATCTTAGAATCAGAAAACATAACAATATTGTGAGCAAGTCCAGGAGTCAGAAAACAGAGGGACTAGCTCTGGTTCTGCCAACTCTTGTCTGAGACATCTACATTTCCAAAACAGGGATAATGGGATCATTTTTTATCTCTGAGTAACCTTTTAGCACCACAATCTTTATGTCCATTGCTACTATGGTGTTTTTGTCCTTCAAACAGAGGCTTGAACTATCAGATCTACTTTTTTTTTTTTTTTGTCAAAAGAGATTTTTTAGGTTTCTGTAGTGAACATTGTTATTAATCAAAAAGTTTACATGAGAAATATGGCCCTATGAAAGAGGACAAGATCAACAAAACAGAATTGTAACTTTTCACGTTCATTCCAACTTAACCAGTGGGGGAAAAAATCAAGAGCAAGTCTTCTATTTTAAAAGGTTTATTCTGCCTGCATCATGGAGAATGGAATATAGGGGTGGGGATGAACACAGCAGTAGAAACAGAGAAACTAGTAACTCATGGCAAAATTCTGCCACTGATAAAAATGAGGGCTTGGAGGGGGGGAAAAAGAGGTCAGATTCTGAGTGCACTGTGAAAATGATGTGTTGGATTTGGTGAATGGACAGGTATGTGTTGTATGAAAGAGACAAGGGTAAAGGATGATCTTTCTATTTCTGATCTAAAAACTGGGTTAAATTGAGTCACCATTTATTGAAATGAGGAGTTCAAAGCAAGAAGTTAAAATTCAGTTGGAGATTCTGCTGAAGGGTATTCAGCACAGTCTGCAGCATTTCTGAATGGACAGGAATAGTGTTTCAAAACAGACAGCCTATCCTAAGATTTAAATTCCAGCTGTGTCACCAGTTGTATGACTTTATAGATAGTTTGAGGCTGGGATTTATCTTCTATGTAATGGGGGTGGTCAGTTCAGCCCCACTAGACTGTCCTGAAGATCAGATATAAATATTTTTAAGCACTGAAACATTTCTAAGTACCTATAATAATATTGGTGTTCAGTAAGACGTGGTATGTATAATGTCATAGACATTTACCTAGATTTTGTGAATCAGATGGGCATTATTGAGTACAAATAGAAGCATTTGAGCTTATTTTAGGAAAGAAAAATAACTGGCAGAGGCAGGAGTGTAACATGAATCTAAGTTCATAAATATAGTAAGAGAAGTGCTATGAAACATTAAGAAAAGTCTGGACCAAGGTACCAGAAAGCTATAAGGAGTCTCATCTCTTACTTTGATTCTGTTTGTTCCTATTATGTGTTCCTGTTCCATTCCTATCTATAGAGTTTTTGATATGTATGATCAGTGAGACTGAACACATAACAAAATATGGCCACAGTAGGGCTGCTATTGAAATAATGTCTAGCTCTAGTCACGAGCAGAAACTGTCCCTCGGGCTGTCTCCTAGTCTTGATCCAAATCTGCAGGTAGGAGAGTCATGTACAGCCAGGCTTGTCAGGTGTCCAGTACTAATCAGGCACCTATGACTGTAAGGAGGAAGTCATTAGAAATCAGGTCTGAATCCACCACTCAGTCAGCATCAACTGCAAGTGTAGGATATGAAGCTCCCACAATATAAACCTGGTTACTGGGTAACCCAACTGAAAGATAATTGTAGGAGGGCACTAGTTTTCTAACAGGAGAAATTATGATCTTGGCAGACATCTCAAAATGTATTGATGATCACATATCATTAATAATAGTTAAAAGTGTATAGATATTATTTTTGAAAAACTTTGTTATGCTTTATTAAAACCTGTCATGTGTGTTTTACTTATTTTTTTTTCCTAAAAAAAGTATTTAACAAGTGCATACAATCTGTACTGTATGGCTGATAAGCTGCTGTCAGCAGTCATTGAAGTACATAGTACCAAGCCCAGATTAGCACTCAAGAGCTGCTACTCCTTGTTCTAATTTTAGAACATTGATTCCTCTGTAAAGGGTAAGAAAAACAAAAGTTTAAGTGTCTCAATAACAAAATGATAGCGCCCTGCTGAGTTGATGGTGAAAATCTCAAAGAAGTTCTTAACTCTCAGGTAAAATTTCTTAGAAAAGGTTCCCTTTGTTATAAATCACACTAAGAGTCAATTCACTGTTCAGAGTTCTTTCTGCCCTGCTGAGGCTCAGCATTAACATTCTGACCACATGGAATATATATAGGTAATCAAATCCACTCCTTGCAGCTGGCCTGACAAGAAAGCGCTTACTGTAATTGAGATTTCTGTTTAAAGCCATCATTAGTGTTAGCTGAGTCTTAAAAAAAAGTGAATTTTAGTTTAATTGTTATGCACTTTAACTCAGAATTTAAATATTTTAAAGCTTCTTTTACAGACTGTCTGCTAAAAACACATTTACATTTTACAGATCCGTCATCCTGATTGAAGTTGATTTGTAGAATTGAAAGTGAATTTCAACAAAAAGTCCCATGCATCCAAATATTAAGCTTATCAATCCATCAGTGGAAGAGTCAACCAAAAATTTCAAATACATGATTCACTTAATCGCATGATAGCACCATCAACTAGTCTACTCTTTTAGTAGATGCGGAAACTGAGCTTGGAACTGAAGCTTGCATTCGTGTTCTTTCCACAGCCTCAGCACTTTATTTCGTGTTTCCCTTCAGTAAAGAACCCCACACACATCTACGATCCTTTGCACACCATAGTCTCATCAACACCAATCTGTGTTTGAGTCATCTCAGCAATGTCCTCTACATCTCACTAGTCCTGCACAAACAGTTCCAATTACAGGGATTTCAGGGGCATACAGATTGCGGTACAGGACACCGAATCTACTATAAAAAGCATGCCATCTAGTGGGAGAGACAAGGTTAAACCACCAATTAACATATACTATACATTTGTTATTTAGGTCTCTTAGGTTACTCTTCTATCAGAAAAGTCATTATGCTCTTACCTTCTGCTACTTACAAGATTTCATACATGCTAAAGTCAGAGACTATTTCTTAATATAGCTTATCTTTGCAGCTCTAGGCTTCGATGATAGGAATTGAGTTGAATGTAGTTATATTTTTGGAATAATGTTATACAAGGCTACTTCAAAAAGTTCATGGAAATGGAATTTTAAGTTTATTTTGGTGTACTTTTTTAAAAACCATGCACATTTGTTTTCTAAAAAAAGCTCAGGGAAGAAGCATATTATGAAAAATCTATGTAAGCATTTCAAAAATGTTTTACACCAAAATAAACATATTTTAATTCCATTTTCCACAAACTTTTTGAAATACACTTGTACATATTTTATTTAAATATTAAATGAGTAGTAATAGAATATAGCATTTATTGAGTGCCAAACAGAAACTGTGCATGCTCCAGTAAAGGGAATTATCACTGATGGCTATGGATGTTTTAGAAAACCTCTAAGATGGTGAAGAAAACAATCACACAGACCAGTAGAATAGCTGTAACTTTGAGAAATGAAGAGAAAAGTGCAGATGCTGCATGTAAAGGAGATGGTGAGGCAAAACCTGACAGGGGACCTTTTAAAGAAAATCAGTTTTTAAAAAGCAAAATTCATTTTCATGGAGTCGGCATTGTGGCATAGCAGGTAAAGTCACTGCCTGCAATGCTGGCATTTTATATGGGTGGCAGTTCAAGTCCTGGCTGCTCTACTTTCAATCTACCTCCATGCTAGTAAACCTGGGAAAACAGCAGAATATGGCCCAGGTACTTAGGTCCCTGTCACCCATGGGGGAGAACAGGATGGAGTTCCAGGCTCTAGGCTTCAGCCTGGCCCAGCACTGGCTGTTGCAGCCATTTGGGGAGTGAACCAGCAGATGGAAGATACCTCTCTCTCTCTCTCTC